AATGGCTACGGCTACGGCTACGGTTACGGCTATACACAGCGGACAACATTTAGCAACTACAACAACAACAATAACTACTACTACTACAACATGTAAAGGACATCCAAATTGATTTGTCGCGTCTTTTCCTACTAACGTTTAAGTGTCTTTCATTCGACTCGGGAGTTCAACCTAACAAATAGATATACACATATAATTATAACAGTTGTATAACAGTTAAATAAACAAAAAGAATTAGTTATATAACATATATAACAGTTGTATAACAGTTTGTATAACTGTTATAACTTGTATAACATTTTTTTTTTTCATAACTGCTATATAACTTGCATTTAGTCGCTTTGTACATTTCATTCTGCCCCCAAATATGCGGAGCCAAATTTTTGAAAGCCTCAATCAGCAATAACCCAAAATATATAGAACCGAAGATGCTAAAAACAAGAAAACGAATGAAAATTATGAAAAAGTAATGAAATAACTATAAACTATATAAATATATATATACTAAAGTATGAAAAATTAAGAAGCAGAACACATACCATCATATGTGTTAATGAGAAATCAATGGACTAACTATAGAAACGAAAGTTTTTCATTTGCTATAAAGATTCTATATAACGGTTTCGGTTGCTTGAACTAAAGTAGCCCCACATTCTGTAAAACCGGGCACTAAACTAACTAACTAAATTTAAGTCGAAAACCTAGCGCGTATTTAGCATTCGATGTAAACTTTACTAAACAAAACAAAACAAAAAAACAACTTTAAAGGTTTCTGCGTGTTGTTTCCTAATATAAACAAATTAAATACAACTATAAAATTAAATGTAAAAGTAAAAAGAAAAGAAGGAGGACAGTCTAAGGTCCGATCACAGTCACCTACTCGTATACTACTCATATATTATCACATTAGACTTTTAGTTGGCATACAAACACACGCACACACAAACACAAACCCACACACACACACACACATGCATAGGTATGCATATATTTTTATTAATTTTACTATATATAGATATAAATATATATACATATATATGATTTTTGCAGAGTACATTGTTTACTCAAAGAACTACGAAGAAATTTTGATATACCTCAAATGCATTTCAGTTTTATTGTTGATTGATTGCTTAATTTTAATAATTTTAACTACTATATATTAGCAAACTATTTTAATTACAACTACAACAACAACAACAACAACTATTGTGTTTGTTTTGTTAGCTGCGTTAAATTAATTCAACATTTTGTATGGTTAAAGTTTTTTTTTATTTTATGTTTTGTTAGACTAAATGCGAACCACTTGAACCACCTCACAATTTTGTTAAACACTTACGTTAAGCTTAAATATATAAATAAATAAAATAAATAAAATATAAAAAAAAAGAAATATATATAAAAATTTGAAATAATTCATATCAGCAACTGTTAAGTAAACTAAATTTAATAACTATCTAAGTAAATGCTTCGATTAGAACTCATTCGATTTTTTCTTAAACATAAATAAAAAAAAAAAAAAAAATGAAAAAAATAAAAAAAATAATATTATATATAAATAGCATTTTTGATTAATTTTAAACATTTTGTGATAAACAAAATTTATGGTTTGGCACTTATTGAAAAATAATGGAAAACGATAAGAGAAACAAATAATTAAAATCTAAAAATTAAAAAATCAATGTGATATTTTCGGCACAAAAAAACTTTACATCAACAAAATTATGAATACAAGTGAATGAATTAAAAATAATAATAATTAGGGAGAGGCAACATGAAAAATGTTAAATTTAATCAATTTCAGTTGCTTGCCTTATATTTTTTAGTTATGTAAATGTTTTTATAAATATTATGTTTTTAAAGCAAAATTTATTATATTTCGGTCCAAAGCACAAAATGTATAAAATAAAACAAAAAATTTTTAAATTTCTTAGTTGATAATTTACGAATTATTTTTACGCTTAAGTTATGTATGTATATATGCATATTAATATACATATATATATAATTATTATTTTATTTAGTTTTAAACACTCTTCAACAAAAATATTGCAGCAACAACATTTACAACAACACACAGATTTATGTACCAAAAATGTAATAAATATGAAATTATAAAAAAAAAAAACAAAAACTACTTATACTATATACTAAACAGATATACTAAATAATACTAAATTGGGATGAACTCAAGCGAAGGAACAAAAAAGGGCAAGCGCAACTCTTTCGAGCGTATTTTTATATATATACAAATCAAAAACAGAAAAAAAAATATATATATACACAGGGTTCTGCTAACTGATAAATAAAAATAGCAAAATAATAACAAATAAAAAACAATGAATTAACTCGCACCACACTTAACCAGATTTAATGTAATTATTTTTTCACTCTGCACTCGAAAATTTTATATAAATAACAATTAACAAACAAAAAATGAAGAAAAATACAAAACTGATGCTCAAATACGTGCATATACAAATACATATATGTATATACACATATATACACTATATGTATATACTTATATATCTTTATTATTATAAACTAAAGAACATTTTCGTCGTCTAATCAATACGATTATCTGCATTATATATGTATATAATTATATTTATATATATATTGCAAAATTTATTCCAACTAAATAAATAAAAAAAATATAAAATAATTACAAATCAAAATATACATACCTAGCAGCATTTGAATGTCGAAAAAAAAAACCAAATAAAATTTATGATTATTATTAATAAACAGTTTGTTTCATATAGTTTTAGTTGAAGGTCCTCTCTGTTGGAAGCACAATTCAAGTCGTTAGGTTTGCGGGAGGTGGATTGAAAATGTTGGTTGTTTCTCTCTTTCAGATAATTTCATTAAAATAAGTATAACAGATTGATGAAATAAATACATATGTGTAAGTATGTGTCAGAGTAAGTATAGATGGCTTGAAAACTAGCAAATCTCTAAGTGCCAAGCTGTTCAGTCTGACTAAATAATTGTAGTGATTGATCAATGCGCTGCTAAAGCCCTAAACACATAGTCTATGATTCAGCCAAGCTATGCGTCCCATCATTCAGTACGCATTTATATATATAAGCTATGGAAAAATATGAAAATTGTTATAAGTAATAGGTCTGTTAGGGGTAAAAATGGCAAACATTTGACAATTTAGTATGTATGTACATTACATAGTACTGAATCAAACTCATAAAAACTCATAAAAATTAAGAAAATCGAAAATATGGACATTCAAACTCGTTCCCGCCATATATTCAAACAAATTTCATAACTAATGCCACATTTCAGAGTGCTGCCACCTCGTCGAAATACATGGCAAGTTCACTCAGCTTTTTGTTCAGTAGTTTTAGTATATTACTATTTGGTATTTTGTATGTTGTCATTGCGGTCACACAGATGCCGTTGTGCGCAGTTTTGGGATTTTTAACAGGATTCGTGTGCCTATATTTGCAGTGTGAGAAAATGTCAATGTAAAAATACGAAAATTAAAAATACAGACGCACAGATAAAAGAAAACTGTATAGAAGCAAAAGACGCGGGAATATTTTCATAAATAAACAAATTATTGCAAGAAATTAAAACAAAAACGGCGTAAGTATTAAACACCAGAAGCAAATTGTGCAGCCAGTGCAAAATTCGCGCGGTGCGCTGAAAATTTTGCATAAATTCGTGAAATATTTGTATATGTGTGCGTGCGTGTGTATGCGCGCGTGTGTATGTAAGGCTGAACTGTGTGCGTGTGTGTGTATGTGTATGTTTTCATACGAGTGAGTGTATTGAAAAAATCCATCTCTTCGCTACGCATTTCACCCCTCAGAGCTGGTGTTGCTGCTGACGCCGCTGCTGCTGCTGCGCTTGCCACTGGCCATTTATTTCACATCTTCAGGGTCACTGCTGAGCAGAATTGTTGCAGTTGCAGCGTCCCCTCTGGGCGACCCCCCAACCCTCTTCCACTCGTGGCACATCTCACGGCGGCTGCTGGTGTGAACACCCCTAATGCGACGCCCACGTAATGCAGCTCTTGCCTACCGCAAACCACCGCCGCTGACCCGTTTTTTGCGCATTCATTGATCTTCGTGCCTCTTCTTGTGTATCTGTTGTCTGTGTACAGGTTAAACCGGCTAAGCGGAATGTTAACGACCCTTAAAAATCACTGTTTATTATTTCGAATTCTTCTTGTTTACTGTTTTCTTTTGTTTATTATTTTGTTTGTCAAGAAAAGTGTTATGCAAGTGAATTTAGCCACTAAAACAAAGAATAATGATGCTCATGTTTTCATGTTTTTTTTTTTTTGCTTTTTCTTATCAGTTCGTTTCCTTAGGTCTCACTGTGGGTCAGATTTATTTATTTTCGTTTTTGCTGTTGCGCTCTCTTTCGCGCTTTTTATTCTTTGTTTATATTTTGCAGACACTTTGTTGTGCTTTTGCTTATTGTTATTGCTCTTTCAGCTGTGTGTGATAAACGCATAAATAATCCGCGATAATTTTTCACTGCATTTATCTATCATACATGTATGTATGTATGTATGTATGCATGTATATGGGTCTGTAGTACTACGTTCACTAGCTTGAAAACTATTTGATTCATTAATCAAAGACATTTCGTAGACGCACGCCCACAGCGCGCACTCGCGCCATAGCGTAAATAACATGAAAAACCTAAAATGTAAATAGAATTTCTTGAGATATGAATTTTCTATTTTTCGATGCCATAGTTCATAAATCGTTAAATGAGAATGTGTGTGAGTGTGTACAGTGATGACTGGCTAAAAGTGAAAGAATATGTACTGTATGTATGTTCTCTGCATACACTAAACGAGGTAGTTGAAAGTCTTGCGAATTAAGAGCAAACCAAAAAAATGTGACTATATCTCAATTTAAATATATCTTCAAGGCCAATTCGACATGTTCTTTTAACTACCCTCGCTTATTTAATGCAGATTTTTATTAATTTCTTTGGTACACAACTTTTGGCTGTTTTCCCAAGGGATTCGTTCGTCTTTGGAGCTTTTACTGTATCCCAAAAATAATTCCATTGAATCCCTAGCGCTGCTCTTTCCAAATATTGTTGTTGCTATTGCTTTGTGGTTTTGCTTGCCCAAGAGAAATTCTAGTTTAGTTGAGTTTGTTTCTTTTCTTTTGTGAGTGAGTTTCGAGCAAACAGTTGAATTTTGGCGGCCGCATCGATCGCATCCACATCGCTAGGCGCTAGAGACTCGTTTAGGCGGAAAATGCTGTGTGGCGGCAGTGCGTGGATTTATTTATAGCATTTGTGCTGATTTTCGACCATTCGGGCACGAATAACCAAAGCAAATTTCCAATTAACTGCACATAAAACGAAATAGTTTGTCGAATTTAATAAACATATATATTCCCAAGTATACCTATATATATATACATATATATCTGGTGTGAGGAGAAGTGAGAAGTGATCCGGCATAGAGTTATATAACTATGTAATTGCCGTTGGCCATTGGCGGACATGTCGAACAAATTTCAACGCAGCTCCCCCCAGATGCTGGGCGTGGAGGCGTCCACCGTCTCATCGACGGCCAGCAATCAGCCGCGCAAACGTGTGAAGCGCTGCTGCAGAAACTTTGTCACCTTCATGTGCACACAGGTGGGCGTGGGTGCGCTCATTGTGTTCTATGCCATCTGCGGCGCATTGGCCTTTATGAACATCGAGCGCAAGTACGTGGACGAGACGGCCAAGGTGGTGCTCAGCCTGCGCTACAATTGCTCGCAACGACTGTGGAACATCACCGAGGAGCTCAATTTGATTGACAAAAAGCTGTGGGTGAACGAGACGAATGCCGTGCTGCAGGCCTACCAGGTGCAAATCGCGGCGATCATCAAGAACGGCTATGTGGGCCGGAGTCCGGCGCAAATCTGGAGCTTTCCGGCCGCGCTGATGTTCTGCCTCTCGGTGATCACAATGATTGGCTATGGGAACATGGTGCCGCGCACGCCGTGGGGCAAGGGCTTCACTGTCATCTATGCCACCTTTGGCATACCCCTCTACATACTCTACTTCCTCAACATGGGCCGTGTGCTGGCGCGCTCCTTTAAGTTTCTCTATCGCTCCATGCACGAGTGCACCCAGGAGCGCAGCTACGACGCACGCATGGAGGCGCTCGAGAGCGGCAGCCTGGGCGCCTTGACGCTGCGCAAGAAGATCATTGTGCCGTCGACGGCCTGTCTGTGGGTCATCATCTTCTATGTGCTGACGGGCACCATTATGTTCGCCAACTGGGAGAAGTGGAGCTTTCTGAATAGCTTCTACTTTTGCATGACGTCGCTGTGCAAGATCGGCTTCGGTGACTTTGTGCCGGGCGCATCGCTGACCACAGCAGCGGATGTGGATGCGGCCACACAGAAGCTGCGCGAAGACATCTCCGCCGATCCCAACGAGGTGTCCGATCTGCAGCGCATCACCGATCAACAGTTCAAACTGGCCATCAATTTCATATATATGCTGCTGGGCATGGGTCTGGTGGCCATGTGTCGCAACCTGATGCGGGAGGAGGTGAAGGTGAAGCTCAAGGAGATGAAGGAGGATGCCAAACTGTGTGTGGAGGATACGCGACATCGTTTCGTTGGCTGCTGTGGCGATCCTCGCGATTTCTATGAGAATGATTATTACTAGGAGTGTGTTAGAGTGTGTGTATGTGTGAAAGTGTGTGTGTGTATGTCTGGCTGGTTGCTGCTGGCTGTGTTCAAAGTATCATGTGGACTGCTCTCTGATGCTTCTCATCTTCCTCTCAGCTCACCATTGATCAATTTCTGCAACTACAAGAGCGGATTCGAAACTTCGAGGGCATGCTTGGCGGCAGCAGCGGGGAGCGTTTATGCACGCCAAGCACTTCGGCCGGTCCATTTCGAATATTCTCCGTGGCCGGTTTTCAGAACCGCGCCAACGACATTGTCTACTGTCCGCCCATTGTGCGCCAGCAGTCGCAGCATGTGGATGACTCCAAGGCAATTATCTACTTTGGTGGCGATGTGCAGGACTTTCCGGAGAGCATGGAAACGAACCGGGACAGTCGCGGCTACATGAAATACAATCTGGAGAACTCTGCGATATTGCTGCGCGAAGCCTTTCCGCGCTCCCACATTATAGTCATACGGCCGGTTCGGTATGTATATCAAATGCGATATCTGATTTTTAGCTTGACTAATTTCTGCTTTTGCCTTTTGCTTTTAGCATGGAATTTAAGACCTTCAGTTGCTTTGATAATTTCGTACGTGGAAATAATGCTGGTGTGCCGGATCATACGCCGATGAACCATGCGCTGCAACATTTAGAAAAGTGAGTTTTAGGTCTATTGATATCCGAGCTCTTAATAATCTCAATTATCTCCTTTTCTGTTCCACAGACTGCTACAGAATCTATCGCAACGCCTGATCTCAATACCCGAAAACGAGATACTCGACCAGGCAGCCCAGGCGGCGGCCGCAGCGGCTGCCGTTGCTGCTGCCGCAGCAGCAGCTGCCATGACGCTCTCAAATGCCACTGTGAACTCAGAGTCTAGCTCAGCGTCAGTAGCAGCAGCTGCCGCAGCGGCGGCGGCGGCAGCAGCGGCGAACGACAGCAGTCAGGAGATGGACATAGATATACTGCAGGTGCAGGAGAATGTAACTGTGGATGCAGATGGTGCCGTGATCTTTCCCATCGTCTCCGCTGGCAGCACGGAGTCGAGCACAGCCACCAACAATGGTGGCAATGTCAACAATAGCAACAATAAGGACGCTCTGCTTAACAATCATCAAGAGTCGAACAACCAACAGCAGCAGCAACAGTTGCAGCAACAGCAACAGCTGCTGCAACAGCAACAACAACAGCCGCAACAGACAGTTGTTAAGGCAGCGTCAGCGCCAATGAACAATGTGGATCACTACAACAACACAACAAACAGCAGCAATGATTGCGCCGCTGATCGGCAACCGTCGCTGCCAACGCAACCGCAGCAGCCGCGTCCGGCGACGCCAACGTCCGAGAATAATCCATTGTGGTGGCGGGAGAATCTGAATTTGGACAAGTCCAAGCTGGTGCTGATAGGCTTCAGCAAGGGCTGCGTCGTGCTCAATCAAGTGAGTCACATTTGGTGTAAAAATCGTTAACAAATTTTTACTACGTTATCAGCCCAATCTAACGAAAATTCGCACTTAAACATTTAAATATTTATTGATGCGCGTTTGCTTGCAGTTCATCTATGAGTTTCATTATCTGAAAACGTTGACGCCCGATGACAGCAGCATGTGCCGGCTGCTCTCGCGCATAACAGACATGTATTGGCTGGACGGCGGGCATGGCGGCCAGAAGAACACATGGATCACATCACGCAGCCTGCTAGAGACGCTAACGCGAATGGGTTTGTTTGTCTGCTACTTTGCCAAGTTGCAGTATTAAATGCAGCTCACTTTTCAGGCATGAACATACATGTGCACCTCACACCTTACCAGGTGCAGGACGATCGGCGGCCCTGGATACGCAAGGAGGAGAAGCTGTTCACCGAGATGCTGCGGCGTTTGAATGCGCCCATTACGCGACACTTGCACTACGATAACCAGCCGGCGAATCTGATGACGCATTTTGAGGTTCTGCAGGCATTCTGTCAGCACGTCCATTCACTCAACCAGCAGCAGTTGCAGCAGCAGCCCGGCCACGAGCAGGCAATTGCGGCCACAAACAATGGCTCGAGCGGTGCTAGCAACAATCTGCTGGATGCCAGTGATGAGGCAAAGTGACAGCTTCAATTGCATCCACACCACCATAGGCGGCGCTTATATGCGATGCGCAAGGGCGCCGCCGCTGCTAAGCGATTGCAGCTGCAGCAGCTAAGGCAGCAGCAACAACTGCTGTTATCGACGGATGCCGCCTCGTCGTCGGCGTCCACTCGCCTGGCCGCAGCACTGATTTCCTCAGCTGTGGCTCTCAGTGCTGTTTCGACTTCAAGCACGGCCTGCACGGCGAGCATTGTAAATAATCATCATCAAAGCCATACACCACAGCAGCAGCAGCAGCAACCACAGCAACAGCAGCAACAACAGCAGCAGCAGCAACACACCACAGCACGGACACACTTTCAGCAACAGGCACATTCACATCAGCACTCTCACAGACATCATCATCACCATCACCACCATCATCACCACCACCACCATCACCAGCAGCCAAATCATTCGCACAATCATCATCAATGTCGCACGAAACGCAAACTGCAAAAATTGTATTATACGCTTTGCCGTTAGACTTGTACACCTAATTATAAACTATCTATACAAATATATATTTTATGCTACTAATTTATGGCTTAAGGTAGCCTAAGTTATGTCCCCAACTGAAATATCTCTCTCTTTATACAAATTATGTAAAGCTAAGGTCGCGTCAATTGTTGTGCTGAAACAGATTCTAAGTGTACATTTGTTTTCTATAGTTTATGCGTATTGTCCAAATAATTATTTATTTAATTTTTCTTTTTTTTTTACTTTCCCCTCTTCTTTTATACTATCAGACTTAAGCAAAGAAATATGAAAAAGAAGAAAATCTCGTCAGTGCAATAATAATACAACTTTCTTACTTTTATACTTTTCCCCTTAATACACACAATCTTTCCACTTCCAACCTCTTTTAAAATGCCTACGCATTTAAATCAACAGGAATTTCTACAAAAAAAAAAAAAAAAAAAATCAAATTTATCCACACAAACATAGAGCCGCAAGTATCCAAACATTATTCAATATAAAGAAAAGCAAAAAATTTAAACTGAAAATGAAAAACTCTGATTAAGTATTACTTAGCGTTAAGTAAGCGTAATATAAGTTCCAAAACCTTAACAAAAATAGGCTTACAAAATCAATTAATCATAATAGTAATGCCTTTATTGTACTTTATTTAATGAATTTTGTAAGAATACAAAGGAAAACAAACGATTTTGCTCTATGTATTGTGTACGTAGTTCAACGTTGTGCTACGAAATTCTAAGTAGACCATCTCTATGAAAATAAAAGAAAAACAAAAAAATATAAATAAAGCAAAGAACTAAATATTTGAAGAAACGTTCCTTAAAAAGATTAAAGAGAGCCATCAAATCCCGACTATATATATGAAATTTAAATGCAAAACAGCCTCCTAAGCACAAAGGGATAGCAAAACATTACTTACAGAATATTGCTAGTAATCTTTAAAAAAAACCGTTTCGTACCTTTTAGAATTTGCAGTTCAAAATTGTCAGTAAAAATTGTACGGCTTGAAAGTAAGTAAATACTTATGTTGCGAGTCTGAAACCACAAATGAGGGGATATCAAATGGAATGATACCTTCATTATAAAAAAAAAAAAAGAATTAAATAGACTTCTATGTAACGCAGGCTTCTGATTCTAGCGTGTCTAGTAATAAATGAAATTAAGCGTAATGACACTTTATTGGGGGTTGTCGAGAAACTGAACCAAGAGACCAGATTTCCAAATGGAAGAGCCAAAAAAGTAAGTTTCAAATAAAAAAAATTATTATTTTTTTTTGAAAATCTTTATGAATTAAGTATATTTATTCGATCTACTTAAATGTAATGCTTGGTTACCTTTTGTGTTGTTTTTTGTTTCTAAATAAATTACACGTTTATCGTAAAATATTCTACAAAAAATATCAGTTGTGATGCACTTTTATCTACTAAATGGAGAAATCTTTGAGATGCGCATGAGATAGCTGTCGAGTCGCTTTGTTTTGTTTTGATTTGTTGTTTTCCGGTGTCCTGCTATGCCAATCACACGAAACACAAATAAAACACTACGCACAATGATTTTGGCAGTTGGCATTTGTCGTCCACTCGTCACTGCCGTCGCAGCAATCACACACATGGTCATTCACTCGGGAGGCCCAAACCCAGACGTCTAGGCCCCGGCCAGTGATATGTCTTTTTTGGTATTTACAGTAGAAGCGCCCATTGGAGCAGGCATTCGTGCTAGGCTCATCGCTGCCATCACTAACACAGTCACAATAGTTGTCATTGAGATGGTCGAACGGTATCTCCTTGCTGCCATCCAGACACTTGAAATTGCCCTTGTAATTGGGCTTGTATGCGTCGTAGTCGAAGAGACGTATGCCCCTGCAAATGGTAAACGTGGCCGTAATTTAACATATGTCATATAGCACACACACACAAAAATATACACATGCACATTCACACATACCGTATAATCTTAATAGCATCGGCACCTTGTGTTGCTGGCACAGCCAGATCGGCATCCTTACCAGGACCAAAGCCGCCTCCTCCATCGAAGTCGTCGACGTCCAGCTGTTTGCTACCCAGAGACTGCATCATTTGTTTGTGTTTCCGTCGCAGCTGCTGTACGCTGGGCAACTGATTCAGCGAGAAGGCCTATTATTAACTTATGTATATTAATAAAAACGCGCAAAAAACACACGAATTCTTTTTCAAACCTGATAGGCGATGAATGAGATTCCAACAAAAAATATTAAGAGAAAAAACATTTTCGATTTATCCTTGTAGAATGGCTTGTAATATATATTTTCCCGTTTCACCCATGTTTTGCGCATTTTCAATTATCTGTTGAATAGCTGTTAAAACTAATAAAATGCTTTAATCTTTGTTTATTTGTTTGGCAGTCAGTTCCGCGTCAGCGATGTGGCCAAGTAATGTGAATATAAAAACAAATCTTAACCCTTATGTGAATGAGTCAGCGAGCAGCTTAGCAGCTGTAACAATCGTTCGTTTGGTCTGTTAATCAACTCACATATGTAAATGCTTTTGCTTTTTTGTCTAATATGACTACTTAGCTATATGACAAATAGACAATCAGATAATAGAAATCAAATTGTTAGCATATTGAAATAAAAATGTTGATACCGTAAGCCTGTCAATGGGCATTTAATATGACACTGCACCCACATCACGGTTAAGCCAATCAGCTGTTTGTATTTGAATATTTTCATGCAGCTGCTTGCATGCGCAGTGCTGTAAAAGATTTACATTTCGCAATTGCGTGTTTCCCAACACTGTAAGAGATAAAAACCTAAAGAAAAATATTCATGCAACACAAATATATATCTATGTATATATATATAATATGGAATTGGATCAATAAAGGTCGAACGGCTATCATTAAAACTATCCACTAATTGGATTTTAACCAAGAACGCAGGTGACGGGAAACGCTCTGCTGCGGAAGTCAGAAAAATAAACTGGCAAACGTGAAGAAACAAATATACAGGGAAAACAGAAACATCAAAATGAAATCGACGGCAGCAGCAAAAACGCGGCTAACCAGTCTCACCGAAGACATATCCATAATACCCGAGGATGCGCCATATCGCAGCCGCCTCCACTACCTGTTTGCCCAAATCGAGAAGGAGTTCGAGCAGCTCTACTTGGAGAACCTCAATCGTGAGTATAGACACGAATCGAATCGGATTAAAAGCTAACCATGAATTATTGTCCAACTCTTGATTGCAGTTCAGGATAAGCTGGAAAATGCCACCGCAATTACCAAAGAGTCACTGACACCGTACGATCAACGTTCCGCAGCAGGCGGAGCGCTCGTTGCCACGGGCAGTGGTGGCGCCTCGCTAGCAGCCACGCCTGCTACGCCGTCCGCCCCGCTGGGCGACGAAATTGGTGCCAGTCTGCTAGCAGCTGCCTCCAGCACACACAAGAGTCTCAAGGCTAAACTGAGCAGCGCCACAGGTGGCAGCAAGGTGAAGGCCAGCAATAAAATCAAGGCACAGACCAGTCGAATCGTCTCCAGCTTCAAGGCCCAGACGGTGGTGAGCTCGGTGGTGCGCGAGTTTGGCGGCCACAAGGATGGCATTTGGCAGGTGGCTGCCAAGGTGGGTCAGCCCATCATTGGCACAGCGTCCGCTGATCACACCGCTTGCATTTGGGGCATAGAGAGCGGGCGCTGCCTGTTGCAGTACCAGGGACATGCTGGATCCGTCAACTCCATTAAGTTCCATCAGTGTCGGGATCTGGTTCTAACCGGTAGTGGCGATGGCACCGCACACATCTGGCAAGCAGCCGTCAACTGGGAAGTGCCCAAGTAAGAGATTGAGAACAAAATCCAATTGGCCAATACTTAACTCTTTCACCTTTAGAAAAGGACACTCGTCAGAGGAAGAGCTTGATGATAGTGACGGTCAGCTGGAGGATCGCGAGCGTGTAGACTCCTTGCGTACGCCACTCTGTGAGTTCACCGGACCCGGTGGGCATCTCTCAGTTGTGGTCGCTGCTGATTGGCTTTCGAGCATGGATCAGATTATCACTGGCAGTTGGGATCGCACGGCAATACTGTGGGACGTGGAGACGGCGCAGCCGCTGCAACCGCTGACCGGCCATGATCATGAGCTTACCCATGTCTCGGCACATCCCACACAGCGTTTAGTTGTGACCGCTTCACGTGATACCACCTTCCGTTTATGGGACTTCCGCGATCCGATACCCGCCGTATCCGTCTTCCAAGGCCACACCGAGACGGTCACCTCGAGCGTTTTTGCGCGCAACGATAAAGTCGTCTCGGGCTCGGATGATCGCACCATAAAAGTGTGGGAGCTGCGCAATATGCGCTCCGCGCTTGCCACCATACGGACTGATTCCTCCGTAAATCGCTTGGCTGTCTCCAGTGGCGGCATCATAGCGATACCCCACGACAATCGGCAGATCCGTCTCTTCGATTTAAATGGACAGCGAGTGGCTCGCCTACCGCGCACCAGTCGACAGGGACACAGACGCATGGTCTCATCAGTGGCCTGGTCGGAGGAGCCGGTCTTAAATTGCGATCTGTTCTCGTGCGGCTTCGATCGGCGCGTATTTGGCTGGTCCATAGTCTTACCAAAGGATAATTGAAAATTAATCAAACGCTGAGCTGCATTGCAGACCAAAAATATAAAAAATAATACGATTTTAAAGCTTTTACTTGATTGTCCTTATGAAAGCGAATATCCCTCGAACACATCATCTTCGTGTCATTTTGTTATTTTAATAGAAGCGCGACTAGTGAACTTAAATTGTCGTATATCAAGTATTATGCTAATGTGAACCACTATTTTTTCTTGATACGTTCGTATCCATGTAGCATACAATTTGTTTTATGCCAAAAATCGCGATATATACATGAATATATATGTATATAACGATTGTTATCCTATTATATACTATTTGTAAAATGTGTGTAGATAAGGGATTCATAACTGTTAGCTGTGTTTTTATTAATATCGCTCCATATACGATTTACATTATCCTAACTCTATATACATACATATATGTCTAAGGCATGGGTTTAACATGAATGTTAGATAAGACAAAACAAAATACTTAATAAAATCCATATTCACTCCGAATATACATAGCTTTGGAATTCATTGATTCGCCTCTATAGATGGGCGAACTTTAAGATCAGCAGGCCAATGAGAACGGCTACTTCTAAGATAATGATCAAAATTAAAACAATCTTATTGTAGATAACTTCACGGCTCAGTTTTCGTAAAATTATGCGAGACTTCGACAATTCCTGATCGGCGTCTTCGAGACGGCGAGTAGAGCGCAGCAGAGATTCGCGTTGCTCGCCCAGTTCGCCAAGTACCTGCATATATAAATATTTGTTGATTATATTCGAATTGTTCATTATTTGTCATCATACCTCCGTGGCCATATTTTCCGTTTCGATGGCCACCTGATGAGAGCGCTGAATGCTTTGGGTGGTGCTCTGCAGGACATCGTAAGTGCTTGCTATCACCTGTTGTTGACGTCGGTCATGATCGGTGCTGCCGCTAGGCAGTTGGGTGTAGCCGTCATATGACATGCTACGGCCTTTTTAATATTAAAATAAAATTTTTCTCAGCAATCAAGCAACTGCACAAAAAGAAACATATCAAACAATGAGCAAAACAAAAATATCGACCAGCCACCGCAGCAGCTGCTCACTATGGCAGCCCTGGTAGCAATAACCACATATGCATATATATGTATATATGTGCAAATTTGAAATTAACGTATTTTGTTGCTAAGAATCGTATTTATTCTAGTATTGGGGTAGCATTGGAGACGATTTATAAGACTGACACAATCAATATCAACTGGCTTATCGAGCCCTGGGAATTACTATGCTAAGACGTTGTTAATTATATTATTGATAGTGTCTCTTTTTTCGTACAACAAACAACACAAATATTTATACAAACATACATACATGTGTGCATATGTATATCACTTGCGGGTGTTTGGACTTTTGTATTTCGATTTCTGATAAGAGAAAAAAAAACTTGATCAGACATATTTACATGCGGCAATGCATGTATGTGTGTACGTATGTATATATGTATTTGTCATGCTTGGAGGCCGCCACCACTCTCACAGAGATACTTCTCAAAGTAAAGTTACGAGCGGGAGATACAGTCAGAGAGAGATTGAATGAAAAAGAAAGAGAGTGTGTTTTTATGTGTGTGTGTGTGTGAGCTCGCTGCTGTCGGTTACGCGCTCGCCTCAGCTAAATACTTAACATCACAAGCAACTGAACGCTGGTGTTGACCAGACGTGTGCTCCTCTGGCTGCGTCGAGATCGTTTTTAACAACCTATACAAAGGCAGGCGCAACGGGCTAAACAAGTTCTAAATTTAACGCACGTACGCTTGGGGAATCTTAAATATTTTGTATAAAAAACAAACAGTCTCAAAGCTGCAAAGGTAAGCAAGCCATAAACAAAAGTTTAAAGCGACAAATAAATTATCGGTAGACAGCCAAACAAGGAGAAATGTATTTGTCTATACTATGCATAACTCGATTCGCGTGTGACTTCAAGGTGATCCTCTGCCGAACAAAAAGAAAAGTTAGACAGTATGCGTGTGCATGAAACCGAGTGTTAACATTAAACAGTAAATGCTGTAATTAAGAATTCAACAATTAGTCTGCATGCACGTGAGCAGAGCTCATCACAGTAGTGCAAATGGTCATGAGACTTGTGTCAAAGTAAATACCGCGCCACCTGTCCACAGCGAGCGTAACTAAGTGTTAACTGTAGTTGTGTCGAGTATCTATTTGCGTGTATCTGTGTGTATCTCTCACGCACGATATTCAGCGGTTTGCTCGCGAACATATACATATACATATATATTTGTATGTGTGTGTGTGTGTGTGTGTGTGTGTGTGTGTGTGTGTGTGTGTGTGTGTGGACAGTGGCGTTACAGAGCTGAGTTTTATGCAATCTCCATATCATGTGACCTGCATTTTTCCCAGAGAACATCTTTCGCATGCGTGTTCAAATTAATTTGAACGATTCTTAAGTAGCTCTTGGCATTAGAATATCATCCAATTCAATTGAATTATGATTTATAGATCGATCATAAAACTTCAAAAGTACCTCAATCAATCAACTTGATTAGAGCTCTGGCGGATCGTTTTCATATATTTGCCTATGGAATGGAAGTCTATAAAATCTATAGATTAGAGATTCCACGATATTTGAAGTATTGCACTTATTCAGTGAATTAAATGCTTGCGAGGTACTCCAGTAGAATTCCTCACTTACTTATGTAACATTTGACCTGGTTATCAATGTCTGGGCGAGGCTTTTAAATATTTTCTATTTTACATTTCCTCAATGTTTACCTTATCGATTGCATAACGATTCGTGATATGTTTAACTTAAAACGCCTGATCCTCATTAATAGAAGCACAGCAAAGCAGTCATGAGATAGTAGAAACAAAAATGGTTAAAAAATTATCAAATTAAACGCCACACACAGGCACACGCACACACACGCTAAAGTGAGCTCACAAAAAGAGCATGTATACAAGAGAGCGAAAAGCAAACAAAACACAAAAAATATTTTAACGAAACTTCGTTGCCGTAGAGATATTAACTGCGCCTAGCATGGGCGTTGTTTCATGGGGGTCGTCAACGCTATTGGCGTGAGGCACGAATTGCTGTTGCTTCGTTAAAATGTGATTAAGACTCACCCGTTTCGTGCGTTTGCTGTCGCGCCCGCGCCCCCACTCACACTAACACATTGACAATTACATGGTGTATGCATTATTGCGAAAGGCAAACAGAGACAGAAACTGCTAGCACCCACACATTGCGCGCTCGAAGTCCGACTCACTCACGAAAATGACCAGCGAAAGGCAAACGCTAACTGTCAGACCAACATCAGACCCTGGCACGGCTAGGCGGCGAGAGCGAGAGCATTTGAACAGACGGCAACGGTGTGTTTAGTTGTTTTGAAGTTGAACTGGTTTACAGTTGTGCGTGTTTAGAAACTGCAAAGAAAAATAATTTCTATAGTTTTTGTGTGGTTAACCAAAAACTCACATACAATTGCTGTTTATATGTATGTTCGTGCATATGTATGTGTAAATATTGAATTGAAAGCGCAGCATTTCGTGTTTTGCAAGGCAAGTTGAAATTTAGCCTGAAAACATATCAAATTAATTGAAGCTTAATTAAAAACGATACCCGATTGCCTGTCATAAGTACGGTTGTGAGTGTATATAAGTGAGAGTGTGTGTGTGTGTGTGTGTGTGTGAGGCAGAGTTGCTGACAGTGCCGTAAAATAAAGTTGCACACAATCATACATACATATATACATACAGTAAAGCTAAGCTAGCTTTGAATGTATGTATGTGTATGCAAATATAAATGTATATATGTATGTAAATTTTATAAATGGATTAGCAATGTCGAGCGTGTAGCAGAAATTGTTAAGAATTTATGAGCCCTTTAGTTTATTGATGGTAATGTTCTAGTTAAACTGTTATACACTTCAAGTGTTATACCTTAGCCTGTTCGGCATTCACTTCAGTGCATATTAAATTGCTAATTGTGGATTGTTTATAGTGAGTTGTTGTTTATTATAAATTGGCTTCCGTTGGGTTGCCTTATCATTTGAGGAATTGCGAACTCGGCGATAATTTCGTAATTTCTGCTTATTGTTTGGTTCTATTAGAAAATTCATTAATGTTGAGGCAAGCTAATAGTGGCAATAGCTAAAGTACAGTCTAATCAGCTATTGATAAACGGCACAAAAGCAATATAAGTCGAGACTTCCGTTGTAAACAGTTATCCATTTTAAATTACTTATAAAATGGGTGCGCTGAATTAGCTGAGCGACATTTCTATATTTAGACTCATCAAGTTTGATATAATTTTAATATGCAGTGCGAAAAAAAAAAAACAAAGTTTAAGAAATATTCGTATTTATGGTATGGTGGTGATTAATAAGTACCCGTTGCGACATTTTCAGATAGTGTAGTTGTAATATAACGAATATCACTATTTGTATACCATATATTTCTATATACATATATAGATATAGTTATATGTATACGTATAGAACAATATATATATTCTTTCATTATTGATAAGATTTGGTTCTTTTAAAAATAAACGTCTGTTGCTATGCTATGTACATATGTATGTATGTATATAGGGCTATCCCAAATTATCTGTATCAGCTAATTAATATATAAATCTAATTCAGATTAAAAATATGTCAATCTTAAAAGTATCACAACTATCAGTATTACGTTTGCTTTGACTCAAAAATATAAATAACCTCTCTATAGAAATACTTGTAGCATTCCTGAAGCAACAGCGGCAGTGTGAGCAACAGGCACGATAAAGAAATGTGCGAATGCTCCTCTAATTGAAAGTAATTTGAATACAGTTAAATGAAAAAAAAAAAAAAAAAATGAAATTGTTGCTACAATTATATAGCTATATATACACATATTTATTTATATATTGTGTTTTATATACATACATACATAGTGTGGGCAAGCGCTAACTATGCTGGTTGGCAGCCAAGAAGCCAGCATAAGTTGATTGCAAATGCCCGGCAGATGGCGCACTACAAAAAAGATTTTTAACGAGCATTCAATATGTGTGTGTGTGTGTGTGTGTGTTTGTTCGCACATTTATC